AATAAAATTTATTTTTACTATTTTATTTCACAAAAAAAAAAAAAAAAGATATATATATATTATATAGTCTTCTATTGAGATAGGATAAAATAAATATATGAAATACATACAATTATATCACGTCTGTAAAACTAGAATATTTTATAATAATTGAAAACTTTTTGTAATTAACTAAAAATAGAAAAGCGGATGTATTCTCTATCCTTGTCTCATTGAGTCTATTCATAAAGACAAATTAATATCGTGCTTTAACATATATTTGTCATGCACATATGTATGTAATTATCATTAGAAGAAGCAAACTGACCCAATAAAGCTCATGTTCGAAAGGTTTTGTGTTCTTCAATTCAGGTAAGGGGACTAAGTAGAGAGAGATGGGAGTACTTGTTTTTTTCCTAATTGCGCATATAGAAAAGAAAAGTAACCAAAAAAAAAACATAGTGCAAAGCTCAACAGTTCGGTCGAGAGGAAGAAACATGCATTTGTAAGACATACAATATGAAATATCAACTTCGTGATTGAATTGAAAGAAAAAAACATAAATAAATAGATGAAAAAATCTAGCAATCAGTATAGGTTAATGTACTTGTTACACTACATTTTAACATTAAGAATACATCGAAATAAATTAAATAACTTTGAATTTATATTTAAAAAAATTATAAAACTGTATCGATAGTTCTTGTAATTTTTTTTTTAACACAAAAGATATTTTTCAACTTTTTGAATAACTATAGAATTTATGTAAAATAATATTCAAAGAATAATTCAAAATACAAATACTTAATAACTTCTTTGTTTTAAAATAAATTTCTATGTGACATATTAGAATTCTTTTTTTTTTCTTTGAAACAATTTTTATATTCATTTTACTTTAATATCTATGAAATTTTATTAAATATGTTCATACATACCAAGTCTAAACATTTTGTTTTTGATGCTTGTTCACGTTTTTGACGATTTTGTGCAACAGTTTGTCGTCTTGCTTCTTTTGCAGCTTCGGTAAGTATTAAATCTTTTTGCATTCCAACACGAAAACATTTTGCTAAACGACAACAATTACATAAACGACGATATGTATGTGTTATTGAACAATCACCATCTTTTGGACAAATAAAATCATAAGTCTAAAAACAAAAAAACAACAAAAATCTTTCAATTATATTATCTAAGTAAATGATTTACACCAAGTTTAACAGCATTTCGTCGAAAAAATGCTTTACATGCCATACATGATAATACACCAAAATTGAAACCAATTGCTTTATCACCACAAACTAAACATGGATCCAATGCTCGAATAGTCGATGATTTCATAATAAAAATTTTTCTGCTTAATACAAGATCAAAAATTGAATAACAGTTTTCCTTATGTGATGATAGTACGGCTTTTCTTTTTTTAGATATATTATCTGAAATATGATGAGAAATTTTATCAAATGTTCTTTTTAATTATCAATATGAAAAAACAAGAATATTTCTTTCAATGATTCAGTCACATGTATGCATATGTAATGCATCTTAGAAAATAAATATGAGTACTTATAAGATTTCATCAATGTACAAAGAATGATTGGCCGAGAAAAAATATTTCAATAATTAAAATCATAGTTTTTTCGAACATTTTTATAAATAGAGCTACATTATCAAATTATTATTTATATCAAATATATTAAAATTGATTCATATGCTGAACATGAAATTTAAATATCCTTCTTCTTTTATCGTTTCAAGAAAAACTAGAAACTTTGTGCAGAAACAGATCTTAAGAAGAATAGTTTATTGTAAAAACTTCAAATCTTTTTATTGTTTCTATCGTAAAAGTGTGTCATTCATATCAACATATTCAATAAAACACAAGAAGTACTTTTTATTATAATTCTATTACAGAATGATAATAATTATATCTATCTCTAAACATTTTCTAGTATTATGTTTATAGAAGAAAAAATTCAAAAAATTTAATTTAAAATAATAGAAAATAAACAAAGTCGAATACTTTCCTGAAATAAATATTTTTAGTCGAAATTGGAAAAAAATGAAAGAAATAAGTAACAATATTTCATATAGACAAGCACTTATAATAAGTAGAAATACATAAAAAGAACAAACAATTCAAAATAACTATTCGTATTATAAAAATGTAAGATTATTACGTGAATAATAATAATAATAATAATAATATTCTATTGCCAACAGAAACCATAGTAGAAGCTCATATGTTTGCCATCCTTTTATACCATTTAATATTCTTCTATTAATATTTTTTTTTGTAAGAATTACCATTATTTCAACATTTACTAAGATATCAATGAGTTAACAATTTCTACTATTTTCTTCAATCTAGATCATATATTTTATAATGATGGTTGCATTTTATCTAACAATGGAAATGTTTGTTGTCAGATCAAATAAAAGTTTCCACTATCAAACTAACAAATTTAAATTATAACCTGTCTGCCCGAGATATTCAAATTTTAAGATATTTAAAATATTAACAGAGTTTTTTTGTGATGGTTCAAGAGAGCTTATCGAGTCACATTAGAAAAAGTGTAAAAAAAAAAACTTATTTTTACAAAATTCAAAATTTTGAGTTTATTTTATCTTACATTTAAAGATGATGACATCTTAAACGGTTTTTGTTCTTATGCAACTCAATGAGCTCTATCCAATCATTACAAAAAAACACACTCCGTTGATATTTTGAATTGCGCGCATCTTATACATATTGTAAGTACCTTAAAATTTGAATATCTATATCTGACAGTTTATACTTTAAATTTGTTACTTTGAATATGTCTAATCTTATTAATTAATAAGACACAAATATTTCCATTGTAAGAAACAATATAGAAAAATTTGTTTGTATCAAACTAACTGACATTTACAACTATAAACAGATCTCGAATAAATTTACTGAAAAATTTCACGGCATTTTGTTTAGATAGTAAATGTGATAAAATAATAATTGAAGATTATTATAAATACAATCCACATCTATTGATATCATTTGACAATTTAATGTTTGACAAGTCTATTAAAAATATTTATAAGATGACATTGATCAGATTATGATATACATATGAATCGAATCTATATACGATAGAAATAATCGATATTTTGTTGTTTTGATTTATTTAAAATTATTAAAATTTCTAAACTTTCATTCTATTACTATTTTAAACTATAACTAATATTCTATATATATGTATATGTAAAATCTTGAATGTTAGATATTCTACTTAACAGAGAATGCATATCAAAGAGATGACTTTAAAAAAAAAAGATCGTATGCCTAATGAATATTATAAATCTCGTTATGTGAATTATAAATATCCTAGAATTTCTAGGATATGAAAATATTCTATTATTGAGATATTTGATAAATAGTACATGTTCGTTTAAACATAAATATTGAAAAAGTCTACATCGATAATATTCTTTCAAATACTTAAAATTTTCTAGTAATAGTATGAATATGCTTACTTTAAATATTCTTGTGTAGAAATTTAAATTAACATGACAATATCTTAATATATAAGAGATAACCTAGAGATTAAACTTTTTATCATTTCCATTGAATTTAATACATGCAAAGTTTCAGATATATTTTGAACCATTAACTTGCATACAGTCATTACAAAGAAATAAATAGTAATTTTAGATAATCGTCAATTGCTGCATAATATATAGATTATATCTATTTTAATCATACGTGATAATATTCAGTGAGGAAAAATTTGCTATCAATTGTATTCCAAAACAAATACCAATTAATATGTTTGACATTTCTATTAGGGAAAAAGGACTTTTGATCACCACAAAAAGATAGTTTTGATCACCAAACAATTAAAAATACAAATCATGACCCATAAAGGATTGTTTTGATCACCACGCACTTTTAGATACAAATGATCACCAAAAAAAGTTACTTTTGATCACCAAATTTTTCAAATCGTTGTGATGTTGCATCATTTCTAGTTTGTTTATTCACTATCCCTTACATTTCATCAGATTTTCTCTTCCTCTGTATATTATATATAAATAGTAATTTGTATCACTGGGTCAGTGGTCGACGCATAGATTTATACAAAATAGTCGAAAATATTCATTTGAAAAAATAAATAGATATTAATAAAGTTGTTAAAGTGTTCCTTGTTTATTTATTATTTCAATTTTTTTTGGATGTTATACTTTTTTGGGAAAAATAAATATCTTGGATGAATGTTGAAAAATCTGGTTATCAAAAGTAACTTTTTTTGGTGATCATTTGTATCTAAAAGTGTGCGGTGATCAAAACAATCCTTTATGGGTCCTGATTTGTATTTTTAATTGCTTGGTGATCAAAACTATCTTTTTGTGGTGATCAAAAAAACCCTTACCCTTTCTATTAACACAAGTTCAATACATATTAAATTTGGTATTCAATACATAGAATGAATAATAATATAAAACTCCCAGTTATCCTCTCAATTTCTCATGAAGTTATTTCAATGCTTATCAATCATCTCAAATAATATATGATATATGTACAGAGTGGGTAAAAATATTTTTTCCCAGGGGGGCAACGCTGTAATTTTAAATAGAGTCAATAACAAATTTTATATCAAATGAAAGCACGTCAAAAATGGGATTCACTAGTATTAAATGGTAAGGGTTCTACAAAACTTTTTATATCAAACATAACAACTTTCTAGAAATTTTCGCAGCATTACTTCGTAGAAAACCATCAATTTGAATCAAATTTAGTTTTTGAACTGTCTCATGAAAGAACTTTTTTCATACTAAAATCGCGAAAATTTCTAGAAATTTGTTATGTTTGATATAAAAAGATTGACAGAATCCTTACTATTTAATACTGACAAATCCCATTTTTGATGCCCTTTCATTTGATATAAAATTTGTCATTGAGTCTATTTAAAATCACAGCATTACTCCGTAGAAAACTATTTTTATGTATCCAGTTTCTAGAGATTTATTATGCTTGATATAAAAAGTTTTGTAGAACCCTTACCATTTAATAGTAGTAAATCCCATTTTTGACATGCTTTCATTTGGTATAAAATTTGTTATTGACTCTATTTAAAAGCACAGCGTTTCTTCCCTGGAAAAATACTTTCACCCACCCTGTATATACATACGTAAAAAGTGCATCGATCCTAACCTTTGCACTATTGTTTATTACGTATGGTGTTTAGTATTCCTTTTACAAGTACTTTTCGTGCGTCATTTTCGCCTTCTAATCGAATGAGTAATTTTGCTAGTTGACAAGAATTGCACATATGGCAAGATTCATACGTTGTTGTGAAATTATTACCTTCTTGGCTAATAAAATTGAATTTTCTAAGAAAAATAAAGGTAGGAAACATAAACAAATGACAAGTAGAATAAAACTTAACATACATGAAGTTTAACTGCATTTGATTGAGAAAATACTTTACATGACGTATATGTTTGTGTACAAGAATTTCCATTGTTGTATACTTATTAATTATAAATATAATCTAAAAATTTTAAAAAAACTGTTTCCGTACAGAAATTTGAACGAATTCATTTGTATTTAATCGAATAGTAAGTATAAACAAAATTTTTTATGAATTGATAATAATATTTTTTTTAGATCATTTTACTTCGAAAAATAAAAATAAAAATAAAATCGAACAACGTAAAACATAAGCATGAAAGTCACAACCAAAAAATCGATTACATAAGTAGTAGTCTTCGTTATATATGTATTATATGAATGTGTTTTTTTGTTGTCTAATAATATATATTTTTTGTTAGTCTATCAATTAAAATGATACAAGATAATGTTATTTTGTCATCATATAATTTTACCAATTAAGAATTTAAAGAAACTTCTATACTCTTCAAAAATATCTATAGAAGGTTGAAAAAGTAGAAACGTGACATTTTTTGTAATATTAGATCAAACTTTTTTTATCATTTAACTAATGTTTTTTTTTCTAAATCGTGTCATTTTCTTTAAACGTGCTTAGTTTCTCTAATCCATTTTATTAATAATTGCATGTCGTTTCGGAAAAAAAAAGTTCAACTTTGTACTATGAGAATAGTCGAAAGAAAAGTAGACTAAATATAGAGCGGGTCAAAAAGTTGTATAACATTATTAGATTTAAGTTATAATGTTATCTAGAGGTTTGTACAGATCAAAAGCATGTTAATAATGGATTTAGTTATTAATATATAATTGTAATACTCAACCGGTGTTAAATATAGATATAAAAACGATGAGAAATATCTTATCTAAATAGAAAAACCTTTTATAAGAAGAGAATTCTAAATTTACAATGTCAGAAATGATGTTATCTATAGAACTTTGACTATCTGATTTTAAACTAAAATCTTACACAATGAAGAAAGTTTAGTATGACTTATGGAGAGAATCTCATCAACTAATATGTTCTGTTTGAACTCATATTTTGCTTATAATTAGAGCTTATAGTATCGATAAAAACCTTAAAAAAGATTCTTTCGATTAGACCTTTCTTTTCGAGTTTAAATCATTGTATTGAATTTCCAGTCTTATAATATTCTGAAAACTTCAGTCAGAATAGATACTCTATTACCGAGATAATACGTTTGCAAACAAAAAACAAAAAGATCTTTTCTCACAAAATCTGATTTGTTTAGTATCTTGAGAAGAAATTATCGATTTTAGTTGAAATTTCTTGATTTAGTTTTACTTGTAATACCTTACAATAGACTGGAAATTGAATAAAATGATCATAATTTGAGAATAAGGATCTAATGGAAAGAATCCTTTGAGGATTTCTTTTCTTAATTGATACTCAGAATTCTGTTAGTAAAAGGAAAAAATATTTCTCGATGATTGTATTCTTCAATAAAATAAAATAAATTCAAACTAATTATTAATTATTTGTATTTGAAATACATGTGGAAGAACAAAAAATGAAATTAACTTGAAATTTGACATAGATTTTGCAATAAAAATAAAAATAAGCAATACCAATTTTTAAATATATATAACCAATACTGTTCATACGTGATTACCAATAGAATCAACAAACATACACCTTAATTTTTTTATAATTATAATAAATTTGAATTATGCCAGTGTGTAATCGTCTATTTTTTTTGTATTCGTTTCATATAAGATTGAAGAAATCTTTGTCAATATGAATATAATACTTCTTCACATAGATTCATTGTATAACAATGAAATTTATTTTGAATATTGATTATGAATAAATCGAACGATTTGTTTCGTTTTTTTTTCTTATTATTATTCTATGAATAAGATTCCATATCAATATCATTCTCATAATCTCTATTATCAATATTTTCCGATTTAGGCCACATACTTTGCACTAATGGTGTCATTTGGTCTATTTCATGCCCTAGATTATTCATATAACGTTCTACAGTAAAACAAGAACGTTGAAGATAAAGTAAATCTAAGACAAGTTTGTTTAAAAATTTTACTGTATCATGTTCGGATAATAATTTTGATAGAAGGTATCGCCATAATAATTCAACATAAACATTTTGACCAATAAATATTGCTGATGTATCATAAAAAATACGATCCATATCTGTATCATTACGATATCTGTTAATACCACTTGATAAACTTAGAATAATAAGAATAAGTTTAAGTAAAATAGGATCATATATATATGTGAGTATTCTCTCAGCATTTTGTATGATAATCTTGGCTCTATCAATACCAAATAAATTGTTAAGTGAAGCAATTAAATTTTCAGTCAGTGATCTACTAAGCATTAATTCACTAATAGTTATCATTCCTCCAAAATGATTTCGAATTAAACGTATTTTATCATCTATGAATAAATTATTAAATTCAGGTATATGTTTAAAATATTCAATTAAAATTTTATGTCGTTCTTCATATTCATTGAAAAATGTATGTACATATTTATGTTCAATAGCAGGAAATGGTTGATATTGACATTGAGTTGTTATTTCAAAAATATGTTCATAAGTACCAAATATATTGGTAAGAAGAGTTTGATCAGATGATGATAAATATGTTGGTGCTTTTTGTCCCAAATAATGTATAGTCGTTGGTGGAATCTATAAGAATAGAATAAATTTATATGATTTGTTCTTTGTTGAAGATTTCTTCATATTATTGTATGTTTTTCAAAATTCAAGATATTTTTTAATTTTGTATATACAATAGAATGTTAAATTTTTTTGTACTTAGATTTTGTTTTCTATTTATTTCTGCATGAAGGTTTTCTTATTAGACGTAAGAAATTTTCTTTTATATTAAATTTTTCAATAAAAAGAGAAAGTAAAATGAAGAAAATTAAATATATCATGATGAGCTAGTAACTAAGTTATGAAGTATTCTTTTTTTTGTTATAATCAAAAGAAAATAATCATGAGAAAGTCAACTATAATTTATTCTACTCTAATAATTATGGATAATAAAAAAGGAGAAGAAAGAAATAATACATCTACCTTTCGACTACTTTGCAGCACGAAATGTTGCCTAGTGGCAGACTAATTAGCCTGATATCTTCCCTAAACCTATGGCTAATTGTATCCCTGAATAGAAAGCCGACCTGACGCAAAGTTCTTTCGCTTCCCATAGACACTAACTAACCACAATAGCAGGTGTAGTCGGCATGCAATTGGACGGATAGTCTGAAATAAACAGCTATTAGTGACTTGCTGAGAGTTACTTTATGACTTGCGATAACAAAGTATGAACGCAAATTTTGAGAATACGTGTTATATTATCGAGTAAAAATATATACATTAACGTTTTCAGGATAAGATAAATATTGACTGATATATTTCAGACATTTCTCAACGAAGACAAATAATTAGTAAAACTATTCTCAAATGATTGTTGTTTTTGATAATAATATTAATAATAATAACAATATGAATTATTTTTCCAATTATTATTTGATTATTAGTCTATTATCTATAAAACTTTATCATTATTTAATAAATCTTATATTCAATACATTTTTCTAATGATATTTTCTTCTATGTGTCTTCATATACAGTTCTATGAAAAACTATCGAGTTACCTTCCACCACCGTAGACTTCTTTCGAATTTTATTCTCTATCAATATCAATTTTTTCGTTTTAAATTAATCGTAAATATATAAAATTTAATGTGCTCATTTAGTATTAATTAATAAATACTGAAAGAGTACATTCAATTTTATATATTTACGATTAATTTAAAACGAAAAAATTGATATTGATAGAGAATAAAATTCGAAAGAAGTCTACGGTGGTGGAAGGTAACTCGATAATTTTTCACAGAACTATATATATAAATATGTTATACGTACTATACTTAAATTTTGCATCATTAATTGTCCACGTTTTTGTCGATTTTTTTGAACAAGTTCTTTTCGTGCTAATCTCTCAGCATCGGATAGAATTAATGATTTTTGCATTCCAACACGAAAACATTTTGCTAATCGACAGCAATTACATATACGACGAGATTCATATGTTACTGGACAATCACCATCTTCTTGACAAATAAAATCAATTCTCTAAAAAAAAAACATAAACAAAAATACAAAAAGAAAAAATTGACATACACCAAGTTTCACGGCATTTCGTCGAAAAAACGCTTTACATGGCATACATGTTGGTACACCAAAATTAATACCAACAGCAGTATCATTACATACTAAACATAGACCAACTTGTCGTGATTTCATTGACATATACATTCAATATATATTGTTCGAATATATAATTTTTCTTTCTCTATTATAAAATCAAAAAATAATATATATATATCTAAAATACATAGACAATAATAAATACATTTTTTTATATCATCAGAGATGTCTAACATTAAAAAAAATAATTCTAGTTTAATTTTGCAGACAAATGAGAAAGATTACATATAATGTCTTATCGAGTCGAATCGAAAGGACTCTTCTGAAGAATGTGAATATTGTACCATATACTCTATGCCTATACTTCTAAAAATAGATATTTACCCTTTAGGCGTGTTTGAAATCACCCCCATTCGGAAGAGAAAATTTGGTTAAAACACCGGTTACATGTTTTTCTGTGTTCTTTTTATAAATCATTATTAATATAACTAATCTATTTGACAAACAACATCTGTCAAGACATGACATATGAATAATCAAATTCTTCAATAGTATTGAAAAAAAGAAAATAATTGTAAACATATGTCTCGATTCAAAAACTTGAGAAGTAACAAAAAGAAAAAAAAGACAAATGTTTTTACCTAATGTGATAATTACAAAACTTACATAATGATTATTTAAAACTTCTAAAATATTATCATCAAAGATTTATTTTTTTTTTTTTTATATTTTTGTATCAATGAATTTTAAACGGTAATAATCAATGATCAAAGTCCAATATATATAATTTTTTTTATTTGATAAATAAAAATATTTCGAATGATATAATTATTGTATAACATTTTCAAGAAATCTCTTATAAAGATGTCAAATATAATCAATACTGTTTGTAAACAAATAAATACTTTTGTAATAATTAGATAATACAAGGAATAATATGATTAAGGTTTCGTAATTTATATTCATTCAAATAATTAAACAACATGTTATTTGAATCTTATTATTTAAAATATATCATACCAAACTTACGAAATTAAATATTATCAAAAATGCTAAAAATTAAAAATGTTCTGTTTTATTAATTAATTATCTAATAGAATATTATAATTATAATGAACAAAAATACAAAAGATTACATGATAAACTACGAATTAGTTCATGAAAGAATTTGAACTTTAATAAACAATATTTCTGTACATAATGAAAGTATTACTAGAGCATAAAAAAATAAAATTCTTTATTAGATTATATATTGTAATTATATCTATGTCAATTTTCTAAAAAAGAAAGATGACATGAACAGAACAAAGTTTTCAACTATATGTTAGTAGATTTAGTAATGCATTAGTTCACATTCTAACTTCGAAAATGCATATATTAAGATCCATACAAAATCTTTATATGAGTGTACAAATATACATAAACAACTTGATAGCGTTTTTCATATTAATAATAAATCATGTCTTAACTTAGTAAACAATATGCTAATCATTTTTCAAAATCAATTGAAGAGAATATTATTATTAAATATATCTGTATTTTCATTTAAATACAAAAACCAGACATGAATATTTTTAATAAATATTGATAATGAAATCAATTTTCTAATATAATCACGCAAAAACAACCAAACAATTTCATATATAAAACATGTTCAAATAACAAATTATTCTTTACTTTTGATTCCACTATCCTAGATGATATTCTTTACAAAAGAAAAAAAAAATAAAAAGATTAAAATCTAAATCAAATTAAATAAGATAAATATAATGTAGAAATTTTGTTAATAACATATTTCAAATAAACAAAGATTTACGTCATACATAATCATGAGTAAATTAAGAGAAGTTATCAAGATTAGCATCACAAATATTTTCTTTTTCGTTTTAGCTTAAAAAAAACCTACTATCCTTATATTGACGTCAAAATTCATGCAAAATTACCATTTATTAACTGTAAAGACAAAAAAAATGCACCGGAAGCGAGATTTATTTCTTCTAGAACTTTCTATATAGGAAAAATTTTAATGAAAAACATATTATGTTTTCTAACATCATTTTCTTTCTCAATCCCTTATCAATATAAAATATTATACATATATAATATACTTTAACCTTATGAATTAAACATTCAACTAACATATCCTACATTCTAAAATTTTTAGTATTATTCATCAAGTTTCTTTTCTTCGTTTTTTTTATTATTATTAAATGACACTTGTGACGATAATTATATAGTCACTACTTGGAATTTCGTACTCAAATCATAAGTACTGTATAGAAATAGAAATATATTATTACAATGAAATGAGAAAAAGAAAAATCTGTGAAACTATATATCAATTTAAAAAAGATAATATTTTCTATTTTAAAATCGAAACAATACATACCAAAACTAATTTATAGATAGCAAAAAAATTGATTATTAAATATCTATAAAAATAAGGATAAGCTTTGAAATATAATAAACCAGAAAGAAAAATAATCCAAATAAGCATACCTAAATATTATAATCTCATAGTCTTTAGACAATATCTGATATAACTTGCATGTTGAAATATTCAAATTAATGTTAATAAAAATATATATTAATGACTAAAAGTAGAGACCAATATGACCTTCTGTTATTTCTGTAGAAATTTTAGAAATATAAAAAGATCTTTTTACTGCTCATCTATTTATCATCATGCTTTTATTCACAATTTGTTATATTGCTGAAATTCGAATGAAAAATTAATTATATAAGAATCTAAGATAAATAACATGATGGATTTCAACCTTAGTTGAAGAATTGAACATTCCTAAAAAAGAATCCTTTTATTTTTTGTATCAATGTGACCTCAAGAAACTAGATGTTTTCTTGCTTTCTAAAAGATGAATAAGTCTATGACGGTGATATTTTTATATTGTATCTGCCAGATGTTTATATAAATAATTGTGATTGAAATTTCAACAGAAGCCAGTCACATGCGTAATGTCACTTTTCAATAATTACTGGAAAAAAAGAAATAATCATCATAAGTATGACACGTATTCATAAGAGAATGAAAACATGATAGAATACTCAATAATTTATCAAAAGTTAAGAAAAACATTATTAAACAAAAAAGAAAATAGATGTTGATCATTGAACTAAAGCTAACGAAACGCGTAATGCATTACGTCAATTATATTACAATTATTTATCGAGATCAACTAATAAATTTTGTTTGATATCAATCAAAAAAAAAAAGAGTAAAAATAATTGAAATAAATACTCGTTAATATTAGTATATAATTGATTCGTAGAATCAAACTAATTTTCCAGTAGATAGATGTATAATAGTAAATATTACATCTTAAATGGAGAAGAAAAAAAAGAAAAGGATGTATTGACAAAAAAATATATTTTTTTCACTCATCACACTTATCGTAAATTTTTGAAGCAAAAAAAGTATATATATTTTTTTCTCTTGTTTTATTACAAAAAGAAAAAAACAGAAAAAAGCGCGATGTGGCTACAGAAAAGAAAAGAGAGTACGAGTATAGAATGGGAAGAAGAGAAAGAAAAAGAAAAGAAGCATAAATTTGGTCATCATAAACCAAAAAACAAAATACAAGAAAGTAGAGTAAGATCCAAAAAAACAAAAGAGCATTGACGTTCGTTCAGTTCTTTTTTTGTTTATATAATTTTGTTTTGTACACACAAAAGACAATGGACGATACAAAGAAGAAGAAAAAAATGCACATTTTGACTGTCAAACACAAATGATATAGACGGAACATTAAAAAACAAGAAAAAAAAAGTTTAACCAGATAAGAGAAAGAAATAAGAAGTAGAAAAAAAACAAAAAAATTAATCGTTTATGTTATTTTTTGTTTCTATTAGGTCAAAAGAATGATTAATTAGTGCATAGACAAAAAAATCGAGATGTTATTGAGGATAATAAACAGGAACAAAAAAAAAAACAAAATTAGTAAGGCATACACATTATTTGAAATTGTTCTATTCGTAATATATATATATATATATTTATCTTCGGTTGCCTTTTTTTTTTTTGAAACTCATCACCGGTCCTTTATTTTGTCTTTCATATATCTATGAAAGTCTGTTATTTTCATATCATTATAGAAACTAAACAAAACAGTACAAATAAATTGGTGTTTATTTTTGTTGTCGCATAGATTGTAATTGAGCAAGAGCAATTGTATTCGATGTTGGTGGAATATTTGATGATAATTGAGACTGAAATTGTGGTTGTTGTTGTTGTTGTCGAGATGATGCTTGATAGATATTTAATGTAGCATATTGAAATGCAGCACGAGCTTGTTGTGTTAAATTACATAATTCACGTATTACATATGAAACTCGATCAAATACTAGATAAATAATAAAACAAAAAAAAAGGAATGAAATCTATTGAACAATAATGAGAGTTTTGTTTCTTTTTTAGTAAATTTTATATGATAATGTAAAAAACGAAATTATTTGGATAATTAATAAAAATATCAAGAAGATTATTTTCGATTGCTGGTATTGATTTACGATCTTTTTACACTATTTGTCCTTGGTCTGTGTCAACGCCTACGTTGTGACCCACAATTTGCACAGATAGCAACATGAAAGATAAAAATAGTGTAAACAATCAGAATCATGAAGAGAAAAAAATATGTAGATGAAATTTTGGTTTCAAACCAAAGAAAGGCGAAAGGATTTAATTTGGAAGCATTACCTTAATTTTTTTTTTCTTATAACAACAATACAATAGAAAACATAAGGCACGTTTAATGATTAAAGATTTTATCTTTGTACTTATTATTATTGAATATTTTATTCATATATAGATCGAATAATATATAGTAAACGATATTTTAATATTTATACTTTTACAAAATGAAGAAACCTATGTTTAAAATGTTTTCATATATAGAACGATTACCTATGTTTTCTTTAGTTATAATCAATAGAAAACAAAAGTATAACAGACAAAACCTGTCAAAAACTTATTTATATCGATCAAAGAAATAGGGTTTTTTTTTCGTTCGTTTTCTTTTTCTTTTTCTTTGTATTAATTGAAATAAAAAAAAAAGCTACCTGATTGTAAAACTGTATCACTCATATAATATGAT